TACTGTATAATCAGCTGAATATAGGAATCATTGTGTTTTTGTTACCTTAGAATGAGCTGGGTTGCCTCCCATGGAGTCCACCAGGTTAAATCACCATGTTTCTACAGTAGCCCAGAACGGACAAATCAAACACTGGCTCTAAATAGGGCCTTTCACAGCCACCGTAGTTTCTCCTACACACTTCACAGCTCGTTCTCATTCTCAGGTTGTCAAATACAGACGCGAGCAGTGTTCAGTTAGTTGCAATCTACAACTTCACTCCCACTAAATCCTACACACTGGTCCTTTAAATATTGTTTAGTAAAGTTATTTGTTATATATATAGACAGAAGTCTTTTGAGGACCTTTGAGATGTCACAACGGTGTACAATTGGTATTGGTAATACTGGTAATCTGTGAATATTTCCTCACTAAAATTGGTATTTTATAATGATTTTGGACTCAGTTGGAAACAATTAAGAGAACCATACCAGATTACCTGGGAGGGCAAAAAAAATCATATGATAAAAGACAATTAGAGATACATTTTGACAGTTAAATATGTACCTAGATGGGAATCCTCTGATTCTTGCAGAGGTGGGAAATACAATAACAAAGTACAAATACTTTGTTACTGTATTTTATTTATTTTTCTGAAATGTTTTACTTTTATCTTTATATTTTCACACAAATATCTGTACTTTTTACTCCTTACATTTTAAAAAACAGGCATATCAGACAAGAAAGGGAGACCTGACCATATTAAAAGTTTCAGTTAGCTTTGGGCAGAAGAGGCCAGTAGAAATGTCCTCTAAAGAAACCAAGAGAGTACTTTTTACTTTTACTTAAGGAAAGAAGTTTATTCCTTACTTCTATATTTAGTCCTTGCTTACACAAAAATCTGTATTTCTACTTGGATTCTTGCTCTGCTTTTAAGACGTCGTATGCAGAGTTTGTTTCTGATAAAGCCAACTGCACAGCCTACAATCTAATGACAGCAGAGCTTGTCACAAATTCAGTGAATATTTCTGGTGTAATATATGTTAGCAAACAGGAGAAATAAGGATGTGGATGTCCATCATATTTTATATCAGGTATTTATTGAACCATTCAAAAGAGACATAACAAGCATATTTCTCATTTTATAGGCAAAATGTTGACTAACTTAATTTAATAAATATGAGAATCTAAATATCTGTTCTGGTAAACCATGTTGCCTGAGAGATATTTGGGATTTGGGTTCAATAAAGTCAGTGTCCAAACATGAAAATGTGCAGCATTTCTTTTAACACCCTGGCTCATGCCATAAAATCCTTGCATAAAAAATTATATTCCAACACACAATTTTTCATGCAAATCAGAGGTACGCACCTACACCTACCCTCCTCTCTGTAAATATTGTTAACAAGTCAGCAGATGGGTCCACAGCGCCAGTCCTCGGGCTAGACAACATATGGACCTGTCACTTACAGCCTGTCTTATTACAGTAAGTGCATAACTTAACACATAATAAGGCTTCAATTTAACATTCACTCGCTGTTTTAATTCAAATGTTCAAACACAGTAATCGTGGCTTTTATCATTGTTGTTATCATTATTATTACAGACTGCTTTCACAGGTCATCCCCCTTCCTACATTTATTTCCAAGCTGCATATCTGCACGATTTTTGTGGTAGTTGAAACAATCATAGCAGTCCAGACATCCTTTTCCCCTGCAGCTTCCTCCAGCTCCTCCCTGGGGGATAAGCGGGTGTTCTTAAGTTGAGAGATGCAGCCCCAGCAGTACGTCCTGGATCAGTGCTGGGGGGTTTCTCCCAGGCAGTCATTGTTGGTGCAGTTCCAAAGCCAAAGTTACATCCTTCACAGGTGTTCCAACTACCTCAACTAACTCTTCTCAATGCGGGGGAGGCAGTGTTTGAACTCCAGGGTCTTCCCGACACATCGAACTTCTCACATTGTCACAGAGCACGCAGCCAACCGCCCCGTCTCACTTTGGCTCTTCTATAGTAACGATGCACTACTTCTCAAATTAAATACGTAGATAAAAGATCTTGCTTTCACTGAAGAACCGTCAAGGGGTCATCTTTAAATCCATCATGTTGATGAATTAGCAAGGACTGGAGCTGTAGCACATCCATTCATTCGTGTCTCGAAGGCATGCTGAGGCGTGCGGCCAGTAGCCTCTTCATCTCTCCGTCTCAAGTGTCTCTCTGAACCACAGAGGACTAGCAAGTGGGGTCATGCAGCACAAGTCATTCTGACACATTCTCTAGAAAATGTTTGGCAGTGGGTTTGGGTTCAGAAATTTCACCTGGAATATATCTTTCAGAGAAAGTAGGTGAAGTTCTCAGAAAGAAGGGCACTGTGGATCTTTGAAGGAGAAGAGTCTCTGGCAATGAGAAGAAAACTTTTGCTGGCAGGATAAAGGAACCGGGAGAGGTGGCCTGTTTTTACACGACTGAATGAATGAATGAATCCTGCTTCCTGCTCACTCATTAATTATTTATAGTGTAAGAAACTGGGAGGAGTGGCTGGTGAGGTGGAATAGATCATTTAGTTGAGTATATGTGTGGTAATAATTGATCTAGGGAGAGAGTGTGCAAGCTGAGTATCCAGAAGAGGCTACACAGCTTGCTCTAAGGTTAATGTGAACAGATTTAGAATTGAACTGGAAGGGTGATAGGTTGACGGCTTTGGTAAAATGTGTGGGAGCTAAAGCTGTGCATGGATCAAGAGTGCAGTTCTATGTCAAGATGCGAGCCACCTGGGCCTGAATCTCCCCATCAGGGTGTGAAAGCAGCTGGACCAGTCTACTGTGGAGCTGGGAAGACTCATCTAACATGACCCGGAAGAGGCAATCCTGCTTCCGCCTCAGTTCATCCACCACCTGGGCAGACGGCCTCCAGGCCTTTAGGTTCCCTGCAAACGTCAGCAGTCGTAGAAGCACCGCAGGAGCTGTCCGTGCATCAAACACCAGCACAACAGAAGCCGGTGCCTATAGCAGAAAGCATAAAAAACCAGTATGAAAATTAGGATTTGTGATGAAACTTGGACCCCTGTTAGTTTGACAACAAAATGTTAATAATACTGCACTTCTGTTTGTACCAGTTTATCACAGAATCAACTTCTATTGCTTGTCCAAAAACCCTAAAAAACAGTTTAGGTCCAAGATACTTATCAGATCTCCTGACCCAGTATGAACCTTGCAGACTTCCCAGGTCGACTGGTTCTGGATTACTGGCTGTATCCAGAGTCAAAACTAAGCATGGAGAAGCTGCCTTTAGTTTCTATACTGCTCAAACTTGGAACAAATTGCCAGAAGAACTAAGACTTGAAACAATGCTGAATAACTTTAAATCCAAGTTAAAGACCTACCTGTTTAACATTTATTTTAATTACTTTTCTTCTAAATCAATTTTATTTGTTAGTTTGTTTTATTGTTTATTTCTTTTTTACAGTTTTTAACTTTTATGTTTTTCTTTTCTTTCTCACCTGTCTAATATAATAGTTTCATCTCGGCGTGCTTTTGCTTGCTTGCTTTTAGAGGTTTTATCACTTGTTTCTTGTTTTATTTCTGCTTCTGCTTGTGAAAGCACTTTGAGTTGCCTCGGGTATGAAATGTCCTATATAAATAAATGTGCCTTGCCTATAAATACAGAGCCATGCTAACTATCTTGCTGTGTGTTACATAAAAACATGCCCGACGACACCAGTTGTTTGACTTACATGGGGATGATCAGATTAAGACTGCATTATCATCCCTTTGTTCTTACCTGAGCTTGAACAATGTCATCCATCATATCCGGATTAGACGACAGATTCACAAGGACCTTAGAAGCCTGAAGCTGAAACACAAATATTATAAGCGCTTAACTCATTCATATTGCATTCTCAGCTCTACTGGCCATGTCTGCTTTCCAACAAGCACCAATACTTTATAATCATGACATAAGAATTGTTTAAAAACAACTTTAATAGCTTCTGACAACTGATTTTGGAACGAATGTGAGGACGATCAATCAGGTGCGACGAAATGATACCGACCTGTAAGGCTTCATTGCTCACGACAAGCAGAGAGAGTAGAAGTGTAATTGATTTCTTCAGCAGGTGTTGATGTTTATCTGTGACTGAAAGGTTTGTCAGCAGCCTGAGAGCACAAAGCTGAAGGTCAGAATTCACCGGTGACATCTCAATCAGCTCCAGCACTTGTGGCACATAAACCTGTAAGACAAGGTGAGTTTTTATGTGAAACGGACATGAATATATAACCCAAAAACAATCTTTACTCAGCAACAGATTGCATGTTATTTGCTGTAAAGTACACGACAACATACCTTTATTTGTTCCTGGTTTGGGATGTTCATACACAGATTATTTAAAGCATTCAGAGTCTGCACTCTAACCTCTGCCGCAGGATCAGAGAGGAAACCAGCTACGATATGAATCCCTTCAAATTCCCGTATTAAATTCTGGAGGATCAGTGAAAAAAGAAAAAAGAAAAATGATATTACATGGCTGCACAGAGATAATGTCACAAGCTGTACACAGAGCAAACAGCACTAAACTCACTTGCAGAAGGTTTTAGAGCAAGTTTACTTACCTGATTCACAGTGAAGGCAGCAGCATTTCCCAACGTAAGCAGGATCCGACATCTGTCAGATGGATTATTGCTCGTCTGCAGACACGACAGCAGCATTTTCAAGTGCTGTGGCTCCAAGTTGCCCGGAGACTGGTGGATAATGTCACCTATAGAGTAAAATAAACCTCTGTCTTTAAAGAATACATACATTGTATACATGCATATTGAATACATACAATACATACATTCACATCTTGAATTTCCCTCTGGATAAATAAA